GGGGGGGACAGTGGTGGGGGAGGAATCGTGGACGGGGGGGGACAGTGGTGGGGGAGGCAGCCCTGCCCTCACCGCACTGTTTGATGGCGCAGTAGTCGAACTCCGTCTTGTGGTCGGTGGTGTAGCACCAGGGCCCGTGCCGGTCGCCGTCGGGGTTCCGGCAGTAGTTCTCCGTCAGGTTGGCGTGCGGGTGCGTCGTCGGGTTGATCCTGCGCGCGGAGAGAGAGAGAGAGAGACACACACACAAACACACGTGGGCCTCCCGAGTCATCTCTCTCACGCCGACCCAGGGCGCTCTGTGGTTGAGCTAAGTATACAGCGCTGCCAGCAACGCGCCCTGACACACCGTCTGTCTGAGAGAGACACAGACAAGGCAGTACAGCGTCTTCGCTTCGTCAGGTAAGTGCTGCTTTGCTTCAGGAGCTTTAAACACCTTCCTTTCTTACCTGTCCTCTTTCAAACATGGGTACTGCATATAGACTTCCATCCTCCTGCCTGCAAGTGGCCCAAACTGTGCCTAGAGCTTGTCCCTTCAAGTAGAAAGATCCAATCTGACCACAGCAGGGTGGTTTGGGGAGTGCAGAGGACCCTGGTCTAGTACAAGCTCAGTGACCACTGCCTGGACATAGAAACTGGACTTGTGCTCAGAGAGAACGGGTTCAGGTTCAGTCCTGGCTGCCCAGAGAAGACAGTCTGAGTGACTGTAGCCTGGCCATAGAAACTGGGTGACACAGGCAGTCCTGGGCTGCTCAGGGAGGACACTACACTGGAAAACATGGAGAAGAAAACACCACAGAGATGCTGCCCAGTGTTACTCTTCCTGTCCCAGCCTGAGGAACAGAGAGTGAGCTTCTCAGGTAGAATTAATAATACTCATGCTATTGCTCTCCATGTCTGTGCGTGTTGTTGCTACTTGTTCTTGCCTGGGCAACACTGTACTTGAGCTGCTGGCAAGGGAATGTGAAGAGGAAGCAGGGGTGGTCCTGGGCCCTTTCAGTTCAGACCTACTTGGTTCTGTGAGGCGTGTTGAGGGACCACTTCTGGCAGGTGATGCCTTTCCTGGTCTTGCGCACAGTGCCTTGGTAGTTCTTTCCATTTTCATGGTAACAGTCTGACGAGAGAGAGAGACAACCGCGGCTCACAGGGAGGCAAAAGGCCGACAGCCTGACTGTGAGCACTTCTTTGCTCCGATTCGTTCCTTGATTCCGTTCCGTTTTCTGAACAGTTTCACAGATCTTTGCTGCTTTGCAAAATTTCACCCCACATTTTCTAGCTAGGGGGCGACACAGTGGCGCAGTGGTCAGCACATCCTGGGTTCAACTCTGGATGTGGAGTCTGCGTGTTCTCTCCGTGTTCAAAGACTGAATGGGGACAAACGCCGATCTTCCTAGTGCTGCACGGCAGAAGGAAAGGCGAACCTTCAGCACAGGCTCTGCACGTCACCCCGTTAGTCCAGCCACCTCCACGACCCACCCCACGTCCCCCCGACAGCTGCAGCGCCTGTCACGATTATAGTTCCCCCTCCTTAAGGGTGCTTCAGCCCTTTCACTTGAGACTTTATTCTGTGCACCTGTTTCCTATTCCCAGCCCACCTTAAAAGCCAGGCGCTGACGCTCATCCGGGCTCTGCGTCTGATTTCCGTATCGTGCGAGTCCGGGACCTGGAAACGCCTGGTCCCGTTAAGGTTTTAACCTCTGTTCCCGTTCCTGTTCCCTGTCCGCCGGTTCCGACCCGGCTTTCGTGGTTTTAACTTCGTGTTTTGATGGATCTCCTGGTTTTGGACTTACCCTTGTGTTTTGGATATTCCCTAAGGACTACTCTTTTGGATTGTTCGCCTCGGCCACACCTCCCCCGTGCACCAGCGCACCTTGGACACGCCCCCCTGTCTTCAGCCCCGTATTCCTGCATGACGTTTCCCCAGTGTTTCCCCACTCCGTCGGATTGTGTCGTCCGAATGGGGTCCGGAAAGAACTGTTCGTTACAGCGCCCCCCTACCTTCCGCCTCGATGTCGTCGGCGCAGCGCTTGATCTGCAGGCAGAATGCCGTCCGCATCTCCGGCACGGAGGTGAAGCACCAGGGCGCCTCGGAACCGTCGGGGTTCCGGCAGTAGTTCTCCTCCAGCCCCCTGCAGAGACCCGGAGGGAGAGAGCTGCAGCGCCGCGCTTTCAGGACCGGAAGTTCTTCCCGTTGCGATTGACAAATCGCAAATTTAAAATGGACATTTTTAAAATTGCAGATCCCCTTCTCTCCCCCTCCCTCCCTCTCCCTCTGTCCCCTCTCTGCCCCCTCCCTCTGCCCCCCCTCTCTCTGCCCCCTCCCTCCCTCTCCCTCTGTCCCCTCTCTGCCCCCTCCCTCTGCCCCCTCTCCCCTCCCACCCTCTCTGCCCCCTCCCCGCCCCCTCTCTCACTTGCACTCGTAGGCCTGTGGGTAGAAGGGGTGCCGGTGGGGGTACTGCGCGTCCCAGCGCTGGCAGGGGATGCCCGAGGTGGTCTCGTTGACCTTGCCGCGGTAGTCCTCCCCCCGGTTGCGGAAGCAGTAGGTGGTGTGGGTGGGCCGGGAGCGCTTCAGCGTTTTCTCTGCGAGGACACAGAGAGGGAGGGAGAGAGAGAGAGAGAGAGAGAGAGAGGCGACGTCTGAGTGACTGAAGAACCATCACCGAACTGGCGGTGTGTGCCTGTGCTGGGGGGCCCAATCTGGGCCTCACAATGAAACTGAACCAAGCAGGGGGGGTCTCCACCCGCCCCTGGGGGTCCCGGGGAGCCCCCGATCCAGCTCCTCCTCCAGATCACCCCACATCACCTGTGACTTATCGATCGACTGAGCAAGCCGGGTTTTTCGCGGAGGGAACACCGGTCCCCGAGGGCTGGAGGATATTTCGATGATCTCTAGATGACTTCATTGCCGTTTAATTGATCGTACTTGAACTTCCCCTGGCTTGTTTGGTGGGGGCCTATAAAAACTGTTGGACTGGGGCTCTGCAGGCCGGGGATCAATACCTAGTGGAATTAAAGCAGCTGTGCTCCCCACTGGGGACCTCGCGATTGGGGTACTCTCTATACATTTATTTCAGGGGTACCCAACCCCACTCCTAGGGATTGGCTCCCGAGCATCCCACGCAGTAAGCAGCCCCTTAGGGGGCACAATACTAGTCATGTAAAATAATCGTCTAATGGCAGCTGGGCTGGAATGGAAACCAGGGGCGGATCTCAGGAGCAGGATTGGGAAGCCCCTGGCGGAGCGAGTGCGGAGAGCCCCTCACGGCACTTGCTGATCCGGCAGTCCTGCCTCTCCACTTTGGGGTCGGTGGTGTAGCACCAGGGCACGGGGGACGCGTCGGGGTTGCGGCAGTAGTTGTCATCCAGACTCTTGTCGGGGTACCTGGGGACAGAGGAGGGCAGGGGTGGGGTGCATGAGGAGGCGAGGACCCCTAGTTCTTTTCGCCAACGTGCCTCACCCCTCGTGGAAGTCTGACGGAATCTAGAGGCCCACCATCAGGGCACATCAGTAACATATCCGCCTTAAACTGTAAAATCCTTATTTGTGGCCCCAGTACACACTCGCAGAGCAGGGCAGTCCGCCGGTGTGTAGCGACTCCAGAGACGGGCTGCCTGTGGACCACCAGGGGTCAGCGGATCACAGGAGGAAAAAAATCGAATTGCTCTTCTACCTTTCTGACAGATAACGCCTTGTGTGGGAGCAGAATGAGGAAACAGGGAAGCCCTTTCTCTCTGACAGTGCTTGGAAAGCCGGGGGTGAGCTTTCCGGTGTTGATGGATCTAGGAGGGAAATAAAGCTGAGACCCCAAATTACGTGACACCGTGGTGCCCACCAACCTGCGGGGCTGTCCCGATCGCACACGCTGACCCCAGGCTGTGGGCTTTTGCACCCTAGCCATGGGACACCCCAAAGTGTCTGTTCCACCTGAGCTCTGCTCTAATTAATTGATTCAGCTGCTTGTGTTTAACGGGACACTTGTCCAGTTGTTTGCAGCTCTTAAAGATGTAGTGTTTTCAAGATGCCTTTTAATGAAAGAGGAAGACAGCATGTGGCCTGAACCTGCAGGCTCAGGGGCTCTGCCGGGCCGGGCCGGGCCGGTACCTACTTCTCGGGCTGGTATATGTGCTGGTGAGGGTACTGCTGGTCCCAGCGCTGGCACTCCAGCCCCTCCACCGTGTGGTCCACCTGCCCGCGATAATCCTCTCCGTTACACGTCATGCACACCTCTGAGGGAGAGGAGAGACAGGAGCAAGAGACGGGTCACGAAAGGGAGGAGGCCCACCTGCCCCCGGCCCCCGGCCCCCCCCCCATAGACCCAGCACTTCCTGAGGGACCTCAAGCAGCCGCTGGGCGAGACTGAACCGGATTCCCCCACGATCCTCTGCACAAAGAAGCGTCACCTCATTTGCAGACCTAAACACACCTGCCCTCAACCCTTAACCAGGAGCCCCGCCGGCAGGAAAAAGCCTCCGAACTCTGACGCCCTTCTTCAAAGAGAAGGAAAGGGTAGGTTTTCAGTGAGCAGCACCAGACGTGCAGGATGGAGGTGGACACTGGACATAGCTCGTCTCCCAAGGAGCCAGCTGGGAAAAGCGGCCTGCAACATTTCTGGCTTCTTTCTTAGCCAATAGCAAACTCGTGCCTCATGTCAAACGGGCAGCACGCATTCCCAACAGGTAGTGCCGGTGATGCAGCTGGCCACCTCGCTGGTCACTTGAACCCAGTCCCCAGCCTGTGAGCAGCGATCAGCAGGTCACACGGTGCTGTACTAACAGTTAAGACCAGTTCGCCTGTCGTGTGCTCGTCTGACCCCCTGTGACTCCGCGCTCTGGGCGAGCCCTGTTGCAGGGCACTGCGTTCGCTCGTGTGAGGATATTTTCTTCTTTATCAAAATAAACTTGATTTTCTCAATAGTGCTCACCAGTAAGTACACACTCATGCAAATTCATGCCATCTCTAGTACACCCTCTTCTTAAAAAGGGCGATTGTCCTTTTTCAGTCAGAACACGTGCATGATGGGGCTGGATTTGCACGCTAAGAGAGTCCCTCCAAGCCCCACCCCTTTCCCCTGTCCCGGCTCTGACGCTGCGGTCATCCGGACCCCCGCAGGATCTCAGGGAACAGGGCCCACAGTCCCTCCCAGCGCTCATGCTAGGATACGCAGGGAACTCTCCCCGCTTTGCCCCGCCCACAGCCCCGCCCACAGCCCCGCCCAGACGCTTGTGTCCGCTCGGCAAAATCGCAAGGCGGGCCTCACCGTCTTCACAGCGCGGGATCCCGCAGGTCTCGTAGCGCCGCTCGGGGTCGGTGGTGTAGCACCAGGGGCCGCTGGGGTCTCCGTCGGGGTTCCGGCAGTAGTTCAGCTCCAGGCCATTTTTGGCGGAAGGGGTGTGTCTACGGGGGAGGGGCGGAGCTTGTTGCTGGGCGACCGGACTCGGGGGTGTGGCAAGTGGGGAACAATGGGGAAGTCGTGTCTTTGGCCACTTCAGAGCTTTCTGAAAGCTTCAAAGGCTGCCAGGACCGACCAGCACCCCTGATATAAAACTGGCAGCAAGCGCTTAAATTTCTCACCTCTCCCACAGCACTGTGCATCCAGCAGTCAACTTTTGTTGAGCTTTTTGTATAAGAATTAAGCCAAATCTCATCACAGAAAAAACAGGTTCCTGTCATAGTGGCTGCCAAACAGCTACTGTATATGTCAGTATGCCGTGAACTTCAAAAAAACAATGTAAAGATGAAAGAGATCCACATTTTTGTTAGTGCCTCCACTGTCTTCACTGCCAATGATCCTGAAGTCTATATTAATCAAACTGTCTAGTTGTGTCTGATCTGAACCATCCCTGGACATGCCAGAAGAAATGGCGGAGAACAGCCCCCAGCAGGAAGTGCAGGCGGTTGCTCATGCAGGCTGGTGGGGCTTTTATAGCTGCAGGAACACAACGATTGCTTTTTTTCCCCAACTGGTGTGGGGTGGGGCTGGGAATGCTTCGCTCAAAAGCTGGGGGACTCATAAGCTGCACGGAAAGATCTCGCCTGGTGGGGGCGCCCCCCCCCTCCCCTCACCTGTGGTCGTGGGGGAACTTGGACCACCACTGCTGGCATTCGCGCCCGCTCACGGTCTTGGACACCTTGCCCCGATAGCTCGTGCCTTTTCCCACAGTGCACTGCCGCAGGTAATCTGAGGAGAGACGGCGATTCGGTGATGATGGGTTAGCTGGCAGCTGGGAGCCCTCATTGCCTCATTCTGGGCGCAAGGCACCTGGATTTCCTCTGAGATGACATGTACAGCTTAGGAGGACTCCTCCTTTTCCTTTTCTTAAAGCCTCCAATTTCACCTTCCACATGCAAACCCACTCAAAAACAGCAGGACTGCGTCACTCCTCTCCTGGTCCCAGTCAAGGCAGGGAAAGAATCTAGGTTAAAAGGGGCCCGGATGTTGAATTACATGCAGCTCCCACAGTATTTGGATCTCCTCAATCAAGTGTGGGAAACGTGCTTCTTTAACAGCAAACAGCACTGAAGAAGAAAACAGTTGCTTCATCTACAGTAAGTGACGGCAGTGCTGTCAGAGGTCCCCGATCTGCCGGTCAGAGGTCAGAGGTCAAAGGGCATGCTCACCTCTCCTGGCTGGGGCACGAATGGGGCAACAGCCCACGGCGCGGCTCACCTTTCTTCTCGTACAGGTCCGAGTTGACATTTCTCTTCACCTCGGCGCTGTTGGTGTCCCGGATCCACGGCAGGAGCTTGCAGGTGACGGAGGGGCGAGTCTCGTAATTGAAGGCTCTGTATTGGGGGTAGAGGGCCAATGACAGACACCGGATCCCCCAGGCTGACGTGAGTAAACACGGGAGGGCGCGAGCCAGATGTGACCGGCGTTCCCTGCGCCTGGCTGCACAGCAGCAGCCCTGGCTACACGCGGGCGCCTGCCGGCTTGCAGAGCTGGGCGCGACTCGGGCCGCTCAGGCTGGGGCACTGGGAAGCACAGGGTGTAGCAGGCAAGAGAAGGGCACAGCCCCTCGCCAGGAGAGCACTCCAGAGGGGTGCCAGCGTGGCCCCTTCTGGGGTAGCTGCCTGTAGGCCTGCAGGCCTGCAGTAGGTGTCTAGCCATTGGCAATTCAAAACCGAGGGGGAATGAGTAGAAATAACTTAGAATTCATTAGTTTAAAGAGAGCAGTAATATCAGAGAATTATTTAAAAGGAATGGAAATATGAAATACCATGACAATGCACTGTATCCCATATTGATCTATCGATCGTCTCCTGCAAATTGTAGACAGATAAACAGAAGACCCCAGTGCACAGGAGAATAACCTGGTTTTCCCCTCAAACTTTGTGGTGTCGTACTTCTGTGCAAGCATCCAGCTCACAAGGCCAGAACCACGCCAAATACAGAAATACTGCAGTGTTTGTGTATGCTCTCTTTAGTGCTCGGTGTTGTGATGCCTACATACTGTCTCAGTACTAGGGCTGCTCATTTCACTACTGCAGGGCGGTTTGGACATTACTCAAAAGCTGTCCAGTTTGCTGCAGACTGTGTATTAGTCACTGTATTTGGACCTGTAATGGCAGGCTGCAATTGAGCAATGTCGTGCATTCTGGTTTAGCCATGACATCACCGGGCCAGTCTGGGCGAGGTCATAATGACCCTCCAGAACAACAGCATGTCAGCCAGGTCCTGGAGAACACAGTGGAAGACAGGAGCTGGAGCCACCAGCTGCCCCTGGGGTTACAGAATGATTTTATCCAGGTTGTCGATTTTTTTAAACCTCCTTTCACACTACTTAATTTAATCAGCAAAACAGCATGAATAGTTCAGGTGGGGAGCTGTGTCAGCATGCGTAGGCTGCAAAGGAACAAGTAATAGGTTTATTCCATGCTGAAAAAAAGAAGAAAGAGGCAGAAAGAAAGAGGTCACACCTGAAGAAGGCTCCACGGCCGAAACATTGTGTTGTCTTTCTTCTTTTTTTCAGCATGGAATAAACCTATTACTTGTTCCTTAACAGCATGAATGCCTTTTAGGGAAGGGGTCCTGGCAGATTGTAACCTTTATTTTACAGCCAAGAGCGCAAGAACACAAGGTTCTGTAGGCTGGCTTACTCCCCTTTGCCTTTCAGCATCACTGTTTGTGGTCGACAGGAAGTGGACCTGCTTCTTCCCTGACTGACAGGAGCTACCCCGCCCAGCAGAGCCCTCACATCTCACGAGCAGGTGGTCTGTAAGCTCCTTGGCCTCAAGCAGGGAGTGAAGCCGACTGGCGGTCTGAAGAAGACCCCTGACTCCAGCTCTGTGCGAAATCATGCAGGTAGCGCGCCCTGCCCTCAGAGTGTCGACTGGCTGTGCCCAGGTGCCCAGGTGCCCAGCTGGTGTCCGCGCCGCATTACCTGCAGTCCAGGGACTCGGAGCACTGCTTGGCACACTCCTCGAGACTCACGCCAGGAAGTGGCCGCACTCGGTCCACGCTGCCTTTCAGGGGTACCAGCTCCCGCCCCTCCGAGCGCTGGAAGTCATTCAGGGGGCTCCGGTATCCTGTCAGAACACACACACACACGGCGTCTCCGTCAAGGGTGGAGGGACGCCACGCCGCTGGCCTCTGCTCTCCCAGCCCGTTGCGGGGCTCCGCCCAAGCTTTTCCGCGAGCGCCCCGCTGATCCACAGCAACAGAACCGACATCCAGCCACATTCTAACCTCCACACCCAGTCTGGAGCCCATCCCGGCAAGCAGCAGGAGCAAGGCAGGGTACACCCTGGGTGGGACGCTCGTCCAGCGCAGGGAAACAGAACCAACGCTAACCAAGAGATTCGTTTCATACTTCCGTTTCTCCCAGGCACAGCTTCCTGTATTCTGCTGCCACGCGGGGGATGAGACACGGATGTCCGACCCCGGTCCTGCTGGGCCTGGGTGTCTGCAGGTTCTCTAGGCCTGTCCAAAGCGCCAGAACTTGGAGTTCTGGAAGATGCCATCCAACCAGACCCATGAAGCCCAGAGAGGAGCTGCTTTAGCTCCGTAAGAGCTGAGTCAGAATGAAAATCTGCAGACAGGTGAAACACAAACCTGGAGAAGGCTCAGAGGGTTGAGACATTGTGTCTCTTCCTTTATACTTTCCCGGGTGGTACCAACCTCGTTCCCCTCAGATCAACGCTGGTGCAAACACCGTGAATCCTACGTGACCAGAGCTCACGTCAGAGGCCCCTCTGTCCCTTTAAGCCAGAGCAGCGCGGAGGGCGGCGGGTTTAGCCTGGGACTCAAGGTTAGCAAACAGCAGCGCCCGCGGCTGTGGGACTGTCTGCTCGCTGCACAGCCGAGGTCAGCCAGGGAGCCCCAGCGACACCGCGGTCAGCGCGTCCCCGCGGAGCATAAGGCGCACAGCAGAGGCTCCGGTGAGGTCGGTGGACGCGCTCTCGCGGCTTGGCCATCACTAGGGAAAGGGGCGCTGCATCGCCGTTCATGAAAGTGGAGGAGCGGCCATCTGTTAGGTCGGAGGGGACACTGTCCCCGCTGGACACAGCGCACCACTCAGCGTGCGTCCCGGCGTGCGGGCTGAGCGTCTCGGGTCGGAGACGGGGGGGGCGGTTACTAGCCGACTGAGACTGAAGCTCCTCGCACAGCGGCCTGGACAGCTGTGGGTCTGGTGAAAGATGCACCTCCCGGGTGACAGCCTACGAGCCCTCAGGGGCTCACCATGACATCAGGGAGGGACTCTCCAGCGAGGGGCAGGGGCACCTGCAGCACGTCGGGAAGATGATTGGCTCTGACGGGGGAAGGGGCGTGTCCAAAGGAGGAGGGGGGGCGTGTCTACAACAGGTGATCCCACAGGAGGTGGAGTAAATACAGTAACAGAACTGGCAGCGCCGATTTGAAAGAGAAAAGTACAGTATTACTACTGAAAACTGGCCCTGATTTGAGTGAGGGCGTATCTTCCCGGCGATGGACTGGCATCCGGTCCACGGTGCACCCCGCCTCGCTCCCGCTGCTCGCTGGGATGGGCTCCTGCACTGGATGAAGCTACCCAAGGGAGGGGGGCACCAGCCCCCGGAGAACAGCATGCCCAGCTGTGTAGCCGGGGGCAGTGGCGTGCTGTGGGCTGTGGGCTCCGGGGGTTGGGTGAGGAGCTCAGTGCCAGAGGGACACGGAACAGCTGTGCTCCCTAATCAGTATCACCTGGGCCTGCTGTTCCTTGCTAAGCCGGGTCTTGAGACACTCAGAAAGGACACGGGGTCAATCCAGACAAATGTTTCTCCTGAACTCCCACGCAATCCAAACAACTCCCCTCCCTCTCCTCCCCCGCCGCCTCAACGTCCCGGGACACCTCATTCCTCGCTCTTATCCGCTCATCCCTTCCAAGAACGCCGGGGGGGGGGGGGGGGGGAGTCTGTTTACCGCAAGAGCGCCGCCCACAACAAACTGTGTGTCCCGGGCTCGCATCCAACTCCAATACCCCCACCCCCACCCCAAACAATCTGTGTCCCCCCTCCGCACGCGCCGTTATCTCAGGGACGCGGTACTGCTCTTTAGAAAATGATTTCTATGCGACACCTAAGGACCCGAGATGCAGACAGCAGTCGTGTGCTTTTCTTCGGGATCCGGACTCCCGTATGAACATGACCTGACAGTACTTTTATTGTTTTTTTTTTTTGCATGACTCTCATCCCTTGGAAGCTCATGAAGTACGCCGAAAAACTTATACTGACACACACACGCACACACACGCACGCACGCAAACGACGGGCTCCTTTTTTCATCCATATCATAATAAGCACAGACAAAAACATGCACGCAGGAGCTGCCTGAATCGTTAGTTCAAGACCGATTCTTCTCCTACCGTGAGCCTAACTGCAATCGTTATGTTTTATTCGGAGCTGTGTGCAAAAAGGTAAGGGCAAGGAGTTATTTCAAGAAATGTGGAAATCGGAGTGAGAAACCTCGTGATTCTTTACCACACCGAGTACCGCCTGTTCGTACAACAGGATTCCAGCTGTCAAACGCGTCGGTCCCTTCATTTCCGTGGACTGATTTTCGTCGCTATTGCGACATGGGCGCTGCAGAACCAGACCCGATCAACGACGACAACAACAACAACCATTCAAGGAATCGATTATTCCGACGCCGACGGAGAGATGACAAAGTCGCACCACCCGAGTTCTCGCCTGACTCAACCAAGTCTTTATCCCGTAATGGGTGAAATGTCAGATTCTCCCCCAGGTCTCTCCAGTCTAGTGATGATTCAGGCACGCTGGCCAGCGGGGGGGATTAAAGACTGCCTTGCAGGGCTGTCGTAACCCCCAGGTGACTACTTTATTCACCACAGGGACTCCGGGGACTTTAAATCTGCTCGTGTCCCCTGCTTTTCAGAGCCGGCATAACCTCAGCTGGGCCTGAACCTTGTTGCCCCAGAGCTGATGCGGAAAAGCGGGTCTTGAGTTGAAGTCGGGCGAGCAAGGTAACGAAGCGACCGTGCAGTAAAAACAAACGGGCAGTTTCCCAACAAGAACGGTAAGCAGGAGTCCTTCTTACCTGTAACAAGGCCGCCACAGACTGCCGCTGTCAAACAGAAGATAAAGGGTTGCATTTCGAGCCGATCTGGGTCTGGAGCGCTCTCCTCGGTGCTCTGCGCGCTGGCGTGCTGGGGGCGCTGGCTGGGGAGGCGGACTTTGGTAGCAGAAACAGTCCAGCTGTTTTTTTTTGTTTTTTTTTTTTTCCAGAAGTCGGGCGGTCTCGTGTTAAAAGGCACCATCTGTCGGCGGACCTGTGACTGGTTTACCGCTATGTACAGCACAGTACGTCCCCCCGGCACAGCTGCGCTTTGCGCTCTGCTGGTCTTGCGCGCTGGCCTAACCCCCCTCAGCGTCGGCAAAAGCCGAAGACACCGTGGCCTTTCGTGGAAAATGCCCATGGCGTGGAAAAAAAAACACGCAAATATTGCCCCCAAGCGTGAGCAGCGAGGGGGGCGTGAGGGACACGATGGAATCTGTTCTCTGACACAGCGCGGTAGGCTGTGTGGCTTCAGCGCTACTGCCTCACAGATGGTGGGTCCGGGGTTCGCTGCCGGACCGGCGCTCCTTCGGTGGGGAGACTGCATGCTGTCCGTCTGCTGCGCTGGGACTGGCCCAAGCGCGGGCTGAAGACGAGCTGTCTCTCGCCGTAGTTGTCACGGCTGGGCCACCGGCCACTAGGACTCAAGAAATCCTACACCCCCTCAACCAATCAATCAGTCTGTCAATCAATCAATCAATTAATCAATCAATCAATCAAAGTTTATTGATCGAATGCACAACAATACAGCGTGCGGCAGTAGTCGCTGGCAATGAAATGTCTTTTCTACGAGCTCACCGGGGGGGTGAAAAAGGTTACAGAATAATAGATACTAGCGCAAGAGAAATGGAACAAGAGAAACAATATAAACAGAGCTGCGATGTGTCCAGGGTGTGTGCAATACATTCTGTCCAGTAGTACAGTCTGCCGAATACCATGAAAACTGTGTGTGCATGTAGCCGTTGCGGGCGATTTGCTGAAGGAGCCGCAGGTTGGCTGTTTCATCTGCTGGACTTTGACCGGATGCTTCGGTACCGTTTACCGGACGGCAGGAGAGATGCACGCAGTCTCGCCCTCGAGGTAAAATAACGCTTTTATTTCCTGAAGCGCTGCTGTACCGTCTTCCCTGCTGGTGAGGTTCGTCTGTTTTTGTGGGATTGACGCGCTGGGCTCTGTCGTAAAGCGCATTTGCCCAGGGGGCTCATAACGCTTGAACTGAATTGTAAAACACCCCGTACCTCCGGGAGGAATAGGGACGTGGCGTAGGAAAGCACGAAGTCCTGTCCCGTAACGGAGATAGAACTGGCGAGTTCAGATTCTAATCCCCCCATTAACATCACAGGGGTTATTTTCCCCGGAACAAACAAGGCACATCTTCCTTAATTAAAAAAAAAAATAACGCCGAAGAACTCCCAACTACGTTTCAACATAATTTTTCGAGGCAAACTCGTTTCGGGAGCCGAAACACGAGTGTAGAATAACAGGATGATTACTTTCTAATTCACGGTTAAACGTACTGGGGAGTTTGACCAGTTTGGTCAGAGCGCTCGTCCGGGTGGTAATGGGTTTATGCTCTAACGGTCCACTAGGGGGCAGTAAAGGGGTTTAGAGGAAATAGCTCTTCCGGGCTGTAGAGTAAACTGGAGGGGTTTGTTTTGCTGTGTGGAAGAACGCAAAAGAAGATAAGGTAATAGTATTCGGTTTTACCACTGACTATCATAGCGATAGCTCTGACGACGCGGGGTTACCGTCCTGTAGTGTGTTAAATGCTTTGCTAGTTTTGTTCGTGGTTTTTCTGGCGCAAGTTGCGGGAACGTGAATGGACTTTGATCTTTCGTGTCGGTCACACGCCAGTATTTCGAGTAGCCAGGCTTTGCCCGAATGTGTTTAAAAACTAAAGTCTTGCAGGTCTTCGCGGAGCAATACTGTGAATATGACAGGTCAGGTCGGTATGTTTTATCAGTGTCTCCAGTTCCGCATACAGAAAAAAAATCCACGCAGAATCAATTCTGTAACCAGTTAATCATACATTTCACAATCCCAGTTAAACCGTATTGTGTTACAATAAATAGGGTACTTTTACAGTTAAATAGATTTCCACGATAAAGCACGGAACTCTCTACTTTTGACAGGCTTTTAAAGTAGACCTTGGAACAGTAAATGTTATTGCCACAGTCTATGGGCATACTGTATCTGTAAAGCCTCTTACAAGTTAGGCAACACTTGAATGTGCAAAAAAATAAATGTTTCAAGGAAGGTCCGATATTAAAGTAAAACTTTTTTTAAAGACGCATAGCAAAGATCTGCACCGAGACACTGAAGGAGCGTGTTATAATGTCACGTATGAGTGACGTCACCCTCCTGCTGCCGTCGCTTTCCCTGTTTTGGATTAACAAAAAGATCAACTCGGAACAAATACAAACTAATAATAATAATAATAATAATAATAATAATAATAATAATTCAAGGAGGGAGCTGCGTCAGCATGCGAAGGCTGCAAAGGAACAAGTAAAGGTTTATTCCAGGCTGAAAAGAGAAGAGGCACAACGTGTCCTCACACCTGAAGAAGGCTTCACGGCTGAAACGTTGTGTTTCCTTTCATTTCTTTTCAGCCTGGAATAAACCCATTACCTACTACTACTAATAATTGCTTACACTTATATAGCGCTTTTCTGGACACTCCACTCAAAGCGTTTTACAGGTAATGGGGATCCCCTCCACCCCCACCAGTGTGCAGCCCCACCTGGGGATGAATTTCCCCCTGGTCTTCACCAGTCATGGCCTCCTAATAACCCCCCTCTCTGAACTGGCTCCATCACTCTGCTCTCCTCCCCACTGAGAGCTGGGGTGTGGGGGGCGGACTGGAGCCTCATCCAGGTGGGGGTACACACCAGTGGGGGTGGAGGGGATCCCCATGACCTGGAAAGTGCTTGGAGTGGAGTGTCCAGAAAGCACTATACTGTATAAGTGCGAGGAGTGATTATTGTTGTAAATAGAGTTCTTTCCACTCCCCTTACGGAGTGCCTGCCCCAGCTCCTGATCTGCAATATGAGAGACTCGAGAAGACGAAGAGAGGCAGAAGAAAAGCCCCCTTCTTGTGCGCCGAGCTGAGAACAAGCAGATTGTTCCGCACAGATCTGAGGCGGGCTTGGGTTCCAGCCGGGGGTCCCCGCAGGTGCCGTCGCAGTGAGCGCGGGGACCCCCGAGGGGCTCCACAGGGCCCGGGACCTTCCAGCCCGTCTGGTAAAGACGAGAGCCTCTCCTTCACCTCAGCCTCCTGTTGCTGATTCGTAAGGCTGACTTGCTTTAGCGTGGAGGGCCTGTTGACGCCCGTGTCCTCTTCACGGGGCTGGGAGCGGTGCCGGAGCTGCAGGGGTGCGGCGCGTGGCGAAGGGGGGGAGGGCTGCCGGGCCCCCTCGCCACCACCCGCCTGCTCAGAGCCCCCGGGTCTGTGGCCTCTCCTGCCCGCAGGTGCGCGTCCCCCGGCTGGGCGACATGC